ATCCTCAGGGGGGCTCACTCCGCCAACCCAAATCCACCGAACCCAAAAAGACCGAGAGTAGCGAACTGGATACTTTTATCTGTCCACAGGGACGCGACAAAAGCCCACTTCTAACTAAAAAAGAAAAAAGGAAAAAAGAGAAAAGAAAGGAAAGGAAAAGGAGAAAATTAATAAAAAGGGAAAAGGGAAAAGGCGAGGCCTGCTGGAGGTGCAGAACGGTCGGATCTGCCAAACAGCTGGCCGCGGGCATTACTGACACTTACCACCTGCCCCGCCTGTAAGGCAAATATTGCCAGCTAGTCTGCGGTTCGATTTCCCGCCTATATCTCCTCACTCACGCCCTTCTTTTTAATTTTTCCCTCTCTCCCTCTCTCTCTCTCTCTCCCACTCTACCTCTCCACTCTCTCTCTCTCTCTCTCTCTCTTTCTCTCTCTCTCTCTCACCTCCATCCTTGTTAGGATGGAGGTCAGTCATTCGATGTTAGTAGTCTGAGCCAAGATGGCGGGTTCTTGACCCGAGCGTGGAAATTACAAGCTGCTTTCTTGAAGATCCATCCAGGGTGTCCTCTGAGTGTCCATTCCTTCTTCAGACTCTGGAATGGCAGCGCCGAGCAAGGGTGATCGGTCATGCAGCGTCTGATGCGATGGAGCTGGCTGACGATTGCAGACATCTTTACCTGTTTGTCGTTGTAGGATCGGAAGTCCTGGATTGTGTGATACTCCAGACTCTCCCCTTTGGCGATCCTTCCACGGTTCTTGGGGTCGAGCATCGTGAAGATGCTTGGTCCCTCTTGGTCGATACATACGAGGCAGCCGAGGAATTCAAGCACATTGTCGCCATCATCCGTTCGTTGGAGGGAGAGTTTGTCCGGGTAACACTGTTGAACTCTCTCAATGATATCTCTTGCGCTGGATGCAGTACCCGTGTTTGTCTTGTGATATCTGACCATCACCAGCAGGTCGTCCATCAGCCGGAGACCTTTCAGTCTCTTCCTATCAGAACGAAGGTCATGATTGAACAAGGCCTCACTTCTTGCGCATAGAATACAAGCGAGTGTCGGGCTCGTGCTCCCGCCCATCGGAATCCCTTGCTGCTGTTTGATCACCTCGCCCTCAGCCTTACTGTAGGAGTGTTGCAGTTCATAAGCCACCCATTGGCGAATGGTGTCAAATTTCACCGCAAATTAGCCTTCACGGGATCTTCTTCCCATCGATGGTTGCTTCCCTCGACAACTGACATTCACTCTGTCAAAGCCTTTGGATCGCACGATTTCCACGATCCATTCTACCGTGTCAGTCACAGCTTCGTGCGGCAGCTCCGCAAACATGTTTTTGATGTCGAAAGTCGCTGCGATAATGCCAGAGTCATCGTTCGTCTCATCACCCCACTTTTTGATTCTGAGCATCGCATCTTCGGTCGATTTGACATTGAAGTGCAGCCCCTTTGCAAGCGAGTCGAGCATGCATTGAAGCGCCTTCGCAGTCCTCCTTGTCGCTTCTTTCACTGGAGAGTTTCAGGCAGGTGTTATAGGTCGCCACCTCGCCGGGTCTTTGTGTTTTGGTAGTACGTAAGAGTCTCCCAACCTGCCTTTCTTCCTCCACGATCCGATGCAGTGCAGTGCCTTCTCTGTGTATAAGGCCCTGCATTCTTCTAGGATCTCTCCCTCGGATTCCCTACAAATCGTGAAGTTCCCCCCGTGCCAGAGGAGGTCACGCAGTGCCCTTGCGTAGATATACGGACAGACCACGTAGGTGGCGCCAGGATTCCTATCCATCGGCATCCTCACGAAGCCGGCCAATTTGGCCGTCCATTTGATTGTTTCCCGGTACCAATCATTTGCGCCATCACTTGGTCTGATACATCTTCGCAGCTCCGGAGTATCTACCGTCAACACTTTCCTTCTCTTACTATATAGGTACCCCAGTCCTTCAGTGATTGCAATTGCAATCCCTCCCAACATTGATCTCGTGTCCTGCGCTGGGATGTTCTTCGCGTTCTGCAAAAATGATGGAGCGTCCAAGTCTGAGAGGCGACATTGCACATGTCCGTCCTTCTTGGGGAGGGCACTATCTGCAGAGGGGCAGATGCATCCATTCGAGCGAGCATACGCTCGATAGTTATGGAGGATGTCCCCAACCGTCTGGCGTTTGGTCCAAACGACTCGTAACTTCCTCCGTACAATATCAGCAACGTCAGGCTTCAGCTCCAGTTCGCCTACCTTTAGCTGGCACACCGCATCTACCTCCCTTTTGATAATCCTATCATCAAATGGAAGTCGGATTATCTGTCTCTTCCTAATGTTCATTCCTAATTTATCATTAATCACTTTCGATAGGATCGTCTTCAATCTTTGTCTTGTCCTGTTATCGAATCCTCTAGTAGCCTGGTATCGGAGGGTGAGTTCCTGGTAGTCCAGTCGTCCCAACAATTTCCTCCTCCATGGTTGCGACGGCAGCAGACGAAGCTCGCTCTTCATGCGCGCTGAGTACGTGATGGTCTCCTTCAGATTAGTTACATGTAGTGTGTCTCCTTTCTCGATCGATGCTCTGCTTTCCTTGAGCGTCGTTGTCCGGTCATTGACCCTCAACTCTGACAGGCCATACTTCCTCTTTATCACTTTTCAGTCTTCACACCAGATGCTGCCGACACTGCACTGGATCTTGAGCATAGTCCTTCCCTCCTCCAGCCCCCATGCCAGCAGAACGGATAGCTTAGTCGACCATTGCTCTCCATCACTGAATCTCAGTATTCTTCCCCCCTGTTCGCACCCGGTGCTTCTTCCCTTCCTCTCTCTCCTTCCTTTCCTAGCTTTCTTCCTTCTGCTTGAACCTGTTTTCTTCCTCTTCGCATTCAGTGGCGGGGACCATCTCTTAATGAGGCGCTTATCGATGATATCCAAGTCCGTATCTGATGATGGTGCAGTGAGCGGGATAGCGATGTACTCTTCCCATCCGTTTCTTTTTATCCAGTCGTAGAGTGGTCTTTGGAAGTTGCTGTCAAATTTGCAAAGTGTTTTGTGTTCCCTCCATCGATCGTGTAGGTGCCTACTCGTCCGTCCAATGTATAGCTTCCTAGATCTAGGTGAGATAAGTGCATAGACGCATTTGCGTGGTTCATTCCAATCTATGTCCGTCTCTTCCCATAGATTCCGGAATTTCCTAGCCCATGGCACAGCCCCCTTGATCACCAGGATCACAAACAGGCTCCTTAGCACACCCTCTATTAGACGCTCCCTCTCAATGTTGTGAGAGCACATCATTCGGTATGCAACTGTCGCGTGCCACATCTCCCAGGCCTGGTCGAGGGAAGGGCATCCGTCGGAGCCTGGAGCAGGGTCCGGGCTCCTTGGTTCTTCACTCGGGTCCTTTCCTCCCGTAGTATCACAGTTAGCGTACATACGAATAGCGATGAGTTCCTTGACTGCGCGCTCTCTAGTGTGGTACTCAATATTCTCGCATCCGCACAGGCATTGGAGTTGCGGCATAGACTTCGTACGCAGAAAGGTACGAAGCCTCGTGTCGTAATCAAAGACGTTGCTCAACGCCCCGTTCGTAGTGAGACGTTTCCAGTAGGCGATCAGGTCCTCAGCGTCGAATGCGGTCGTCTTTTTGGTCTGAGATCTTGCTGTCACCCTTGGGGTCTTCGGTGGTAAGCTCGGCACCTTCCGAGGTGTGGCAGGTTCCTCGATCCGTATTCCGAACGATGGCTGGCGAAAGTGAAGAGTCTCTTGTGAGGTGCTCCCCTTATTGGTCCGTTGTTGGTGTAGCTTCTCGAAGTTTCGGCGCATCTCTTGCTCCTTACCATCCTCTTCAGGTATGTAGTTTCCGTCTTCCCAGTCAGGGTCCTCCCATCGCTCATTGCCCCCCACCATCATCTTTCCTCTCGATCTTCTCATATCTTCTTCTCTCCCTTGTTGTTGTCTCTCCCATTCCTCCTCTTGCTCTCTCACTCTCTTCCTCGCTCATTCTCTCTCCTTCTCTTCCTTCAGTTTCCTCAACTGCGCAATTTTATTCTTCAGTTCCGCCATTTCTCGCTTCGGGCTGTCCATGGCCAGTTCCTTCTCTAGATCGATGATCGCGGCTCTCATCTTATTTGCTTCGTTCCGGTGATCGTCACGTACCTTCATTCGTCCTTGTAATGCCTCCATTTGGCCAGCTAGTTTGTCGTGCATGGTCTTGAGCTGCGAGGTCATCGCGGTCATCAGCCTAGCATCTCTATTTTCCGCTTGCCTCTCCATCTCGGCTTTCCTCAACTGGTGTGCTTCCTCCTCTTGTTTTTTGTGTTCCGCATCGATTCTCCTCGCTTCCTCCACGAGTTCTCGATTCTCCCTGTCCTTCCTCTCTTTCGCCAGTGAAGAACAAAAATCCTGAATCCAACCGATATTTGCGACGTCCTGCTTTTGCTGGTAGTTCAGCCCAGCATACGGCTTATAGTTACTATTATTGTTATTACTACTATTATTTGGTACATTCGGTCTATTAGGACAGTCTCTAGCGAAGTGCCCCTCCTGGCCACAGATGAAGCATGCCATCCTAGGGCGGTTCCTTCGTGTGTACTATCTCCTTTACCAACTAGCTTCTCCCCAC